TTGTTCGTATCTGAAAAAAATCTTAGAATATGAAAACATTGGTGAATGTCACAAATTCTCCTAAATCACTCGTACGCACAATTTAAGAACAAATCAGTGCGTACCAACGGTTCTTGCATGAGGCCCAATATGTTGAAAATGGAATAAAAAAATCAATTGAAAGGTTTTTTTAGGCATGCACACACTGTAATGCTAACAAATATATAACTTTATTAGTAATTTAGTCAAAAAAAACTCTTTTCATACGTTGTCTTAAAATCTTATGGCTAAAAACAAGGATTTTACATGATGCATGAAGGGTTGTATGTTTGTGTCAAAAACTACTTGACTTTTTAATCGTTCTTGTACAGTTTCCATGTTTTTGTCACAGAAAGCACAGTGCAGAGGGTATCTGCTTAAAGCATAGTAACCCGTAACCTCTCATCACAAAGATCAATGCAGTTCTCAGGCCAGAACAGGGGTCTGCATCATGGTCTCTGCAGCCACATGTGACCCCTCAGCTCCTCTCAGGGGCTCCTTGGACCAAAGACAACCTGAACCTGAGTTATGTTTACATGCAGGGGTAGACATAAGCAGAGGTGCACATAAGCGGTGCGCAGGTGCGCTTGAGCGGTCAAAAAAGGAAAAAGCGCACCAGATGGGACGTCATAAAGCTCCCTTGCGCACCTAAGATTGTACCTGATTATCCGTCAAAACAACAGTTAGCAGGGCTCTAGAGTGTGACCAGTGTGGTCGCAAATGCGACCTGAATTCTTAAGATATAAAATAAAATAAAATAAAAAAATAAAAAAATTCCAGCCGCACAGTGTGACTGGATCAAGTTCGGTGCTCACAAAGAATGACAGAGGGACCCTGATAAAAAGATTAAATGGACACTGCCTTCAACAAATCAGACAAAGTCCAGAGCCTTTTTATCCAATCAGAGCAGAGCAGGGCGGGACGTTCAGTGAGAGTATGTTTGGTTGAAGCAGTGGCTCGAAACGAGCAGAGAGGCTGCTGCGGTCGGTCAGTCATCTCCTCCTGCACTTTGCTCCTGAACTACCAGAGACTTTGGTCTGTAAAACATATTAAATCTATGTTCAGAATGTTGTTATTGAACAGATCTGTCCAACTCTGTGTGAGGGACTAAACTCTCCTCCTGAGAGACTGCTGTATGAGGCTGTTTGTGAGATTCACTGAGTTCTTCTAATTAAACCACATTAACTAACAGAACATTTGTTTGCTCCATATTAAAGCAAAGATGATTCTAACACCCCATCAAAAATATTATATTTTAATAAATAAAAACAACTTGCCATGTTCCCTAGGTGAATGAGTTTTAAATTTTATTTTAATTTATCATAAAGATCCCAAAATCTCATTCACAATTTTATCACAAAACAAGGTTCATGATTTGCTAAACTTGTTTATATTTAGGACCGTACTGTGACACAGCTTTTCTGGGATAAATGTAATTCATTAAACGATCAAATACGAAGAATAAATAATTACATGAGCTGAAACCATCTAAATAATATAATAATTTTGAATAAAATAGTCTTTTAAAAAATAAATCAGT